ATATACCTTAAGTAGAAAAGCTGAGAAGGTATAATTTCTGAAGTATCCATATATATATACCTTGGAGCTACATCAGCAGAATCTAGTCAAATATATTTTAATCTAAATTAAAAAATTTTAACTATTAAGACGTTCATAAATGGTCTTTTTTATTTCTAAGTATATGTTAGTATTCAAACTACCTGGCCCCATTTTGCATAGAAAAGATTTATTGAAGATTGAATAAGAGATCCAAGAAAGTTTACTCAGGCTGAGTCACCAACTAGACTTAAATTAAACTCTTAGGAAAGGTCCTAAAGGAGGTGGACATTTGAATGGATCACATGTATTCTTCATTAAAAAAAAAAAAGCCAGTATTGACAACAAGACGATTGTAAATAATCAGTGCATTAACAGTATTATATTGGGAAAAAAGGAGGGGCGGTACATGTCTCTTTCTAATCTGTTCTGATTCTGGAAAAAACAGAAAGATCATGTTCCATTTCTAGGAAACAACACTTTAAGGACTCTGCCAAGCTGGGGCACATCCAAGGGAGAATAAAAAGAATGATGGAGAGGCTGGGGGCCGTGACATATGAAAATAGTCTAAGAATAGGAAAAGGTAAGGATAGTGGATCTGTGGCAGTCTTTCAGCACTGAACCATTGCTACGCAAGTGAGGCAGTAGATTTTAGTTTGCCATTCCTCTAATCCTTCTTCCACACTACTGTCAAGATGATTTTTAAGACACAAATCTCAATGCTTCACTACCTATTATTATTCCCCTGTGCTCAAGCAGACATGTAGCCAGTTTCCAGGCCATAAAGAGAGTTTTAGGATCTCAGAAGGACCTGATAGGACCCTCACCCCAATCAGATGGCATTCTGGGCAGCTGGATGCCCTCAGGAAGAGGTAGGGGCCATCGCCATCAATTAGGATGACCCCTGTGACAGCCCTTATTAAAAACCCTGGAACATACCATGTTTGCTCTCTCACCTCTATGCCTCCATTTATGACATTTCCTCTCCCCAGTGGGTTCGGTTCTGTCACTTACTTCCCATCATCCCATAGGGCCTGACTGAAACCTTACCACCTCCGAACACTTTCCCTAAGGATTACTTCCCATTTCTCCCCAGAATAGTTAGGTGTTCTTCCTCTGTATTAAAATACCACCTAGTGCAAGCCTTTTTATAGAAAGTATTGAATTGCTTTGCAGTCATTGATGTACTTGATAGCAGAACATATGAGCCTGAGACACATCCATACATGAGGGGGTATTTATTTGCATGAGCTGATGTGCTTGGAGGGAAAAGGACTGTGAGAAAGAGATTTTGAACTTCTGAGCCTGGTGGCTGACATGGAAAAAAAGGTAGGGAAATCAAGAGAACAACTTAGTGGCTGGCCCTCAATCTGGGGTCTGGTTCCTAAGCCTGGATTCATGGACTAAATCTGAGTCCTATGGAGAAAAAAAGGCTGCAGACAGAAGCTTTAGGAGGTAAAAGGCTTATGAAAAATGAGGTACATGCAGGGCTGTATAGTGGCCATGCAACAAACTATAACACATGGTAGGAAAAGTGAGCTTTCTTTGTGCTTCTGCACAAATTACCCAGCCTGGCTCAGGTTTGGAAAGGTCACCAGTGCATGTGAGAAAGGGCCAAGGGAGCAGTAGCACAGCACTGGTGAGGAGTCCAGTTCTGCCCACAGGAATTCTGGAGTGGGCGAGGAAGCCCATGTCCCACAGAATCTGCTCTGCCATGTCTAGAGGAAGAGGATTTAGGGGTGAGCACTTGGAAGAAATGATGAGTTAGCAATAAAACTAGTTTTGTTTTGTTGTTGTTGTTCTTAAATCTTAGGGAGTCTCAGAACTACTTCAAGAGGGACTTTTGCAAGGGTCTGCAGGTCTTACACTGCAAAGGGAAAGTGACCAAGCAGCCACATATAAATTATCACTGCTAATGGGACTCTATTTATATAGCTACGGTCTGGAGGTCACGTGAAATCTAGTTATGGTTATATTATATTCTTAACCTATTCTTACCCCTGTTCGTTGGCCTTGAAATCCTTGAGGGCTGAGACTGCTGATTTTTAAAAAATTTCTGTAGCCTCATTACCTATTAGAGTACCCAGCACAGAGTGGGTACTAAATATATAGCTGTTGAATGAAGGAAAAAAGTTAAAGAATATCTCCAACAGACAAATTTAGAACAAACAGGTAGAAGTTACAGAAATGTATTCAAGTGCCTTTCTAACACTTAGAACTCCCTGTCAGAGGAAGAAACCCATCATGACAGAGAAAATCTTACCACTGGAGGAGTTGTCAAGGATGTCACAGAGGAGGTACACACCTCATGCAGAGAGACAGACCATATCAATTCTAGCTCTCCAATTGTTTGATATTAATTACATGGAAACCAAGAAGAGACTGGCCATGACAAAAGAGTTAGCTACATGACACAATAAGCAGAAATAATGAGTCAGCAACAAAATTGGTCTTTAAAAAATCTTCAAGAACTGTATATAAAAATCAGCAAGCCTTAAACCAGAGTTAATCAGAATTGAAATAGTACCCTGAAACACTGTTGCATGAAGCCAAAGACATTATCTTCAAAAGCTATCCTAGTACAAACTCTGAATGATGTCTGGAAGACTAAGGTATCCAATGGATATTATCTATAGTGAAGATGTTGAGTGATGGAAGGTTAAAGGAAAGATTTACAAGGTGTTGAGAGCAGGCCATGATTTGTAGACTCAGCCTCTTTCAGTGTCTCTTCCATGGCCACTGGCAAAGTAAATGCTAGAGTCACTCGACTTTATTCCTTGAACTTGCAATAAATGACCAAAGGATCCCAGATCTACAAGAGAAATATTACTAGGCAATGCAGGAAAGGTCTTCTGACATAAGTGAACATTCTACATTAAAAGCCATAAATAGAATGATGAAAAGGACTAACTATCTCATAATGTCAAAGTTCAAAGGCACTTTTCAAATGTCTCTTTACAGAAAATCTGACCTTTCTTTCTTTATTATTAGAAAGTTTGCCAAGGGCAGTCTGGGCCTTGGGTCATTTTGTTTTGACATGGAAGTTCTTTTGGCATTAAAAATAATCAAAAGACCAAAAATATTTAACTCTGCAGTGACCATAAAGACACATTTAGCAGTATAGAAAAGAACAGTATAGAAGCATTAAGGTTTCAAAGGTTGTGTTTGAATAAATCCATAAAGCTTTTTCCCTTACATATGAGAGGGAAAACTCATATGAGGTCATGACTAGCTAAAGGAGTAAGCATGAATAGATGTCTTTTTCTAATGTATTTCATGTAATTTTACATGAAATTTTTAGGAAAATTGCTGAGTATACTACTAGTAACTTTCTAAGTCTAAATATCTTTTTAAAGTATAGATTAGCTAACATTCAATATAGATGTGAACATAAATACATTTTCATAAAAACAAAAACCTCTTATATAAGGTCTCTTTTTTTCTATTTTAAGATATAATTTACACACAGTAAAATTTACCCTCTTGAATGTACAGTTCTGCAAGTTTGACAAATGCAGCTGTACAACCACAAGCAAAATACAGAATAGTTTCATCATGACCCAACATTCCTCTATACCCCTTTGTAGTAAGTCCCTCTCTCCATCTCCAGATCCTAATAACTACTGATTTGCTCTATTTTTATAATTTTGCCTTTTCAAGAATGTCCTATAAATGGACTTATACAGTATGTAGCAAAGGCCTTTTTAAAACTTCATGCACTGGGTAAAAAGTAAAGTAACTAAATAAAGTGTCCATTTTAATTTACTGACTTCTATTTTCTGAACTTAGTGCTTGCTTTGGCAGCACATATACTATTTTCTGAACTTAAAGGCAATGATATATAGAATCAAGTTACCCTTGAATATTACATCTTGAAACAGGTGTTACCCAGGGAGCCTTTTTAATATACAGATCTTTAGAATTTCCCTTTCACTGTATTGAATCGAAATCTCTGTGTGGGTCCTGAGAATTTAGTTTTCACCGAATTCTCCAAACTTGATTCTGATTGACATTAACCCAATAGATATTCACTCTATGAGATCTTAATAGATTATAAATTATATTTAGGGATGAGATCAAAGTACAGAGACTAGGAGAGGATTCTTATCTAAGTGACTTTGTCCTCGGAAATGGCTACCACTTACCGGCTGAAGGGCCTTGAACTAGTCACTGAATCTTGGTTTTCTCCTCTGTCACGCAGGGGTACGATGCCTACTTCCTAGGATTATTTTGAGGATTAAATGCATATAAAATATTTGGAAAGTACCTAGCACATTTAGCACTCAATGGATAGAAGCCGTTCAACTTGCTAACATTGGTCCCGGTATCATCATTGTTGTCATCGTCATGCTGTCCTGAGCATTTTACTTGTCCTTCTCCGTACTTCTACAGTTTGGTCAATTTCACTATTTTTAGCCCTTCTTCTAGAGGTGACCAAAGTAAAGTGAATGCATTTTTGTAGCAACCCAGCTATTATTCAGAGCAGTGAAAAGCTAACAGAATTTGGGAACTGATTGTTCCTAGCCCTCACTTTGACCCTGTTATAGCCTCAAAGATAACAATGGGGACAAAAAAGCAAATTACTGGAAACTCTCACTCTTTTCCCCAAGGGGATGTTATTAGCCAAACATAAACAAACAAAAGGGAGGAAGAGAATCAAAGGGCCAGAATAAAGCAGGAAATTAGGCTGTCTGCATAGGTAAGAAATATCTAAAAATTGATTTCATTCACTAGCAGTTTTAGATGTACATACATGTATTTCGAAAATACAGTTTTTGCTTAAAGAATGAAATATAGAAGAGTGGTGATATTGTCTGCACTTGCTTGTCTAAAGGAAGAACAACTATCCTTTATATGCATGTGTGTGTGTGTGTGTGTGTGTGTGTGTGTGTGTGTGTGTGTGTGTATATATATGCAGCACTGTGCACACCAAGAATTGAAGACGAGGATCAAAAGACAAACCTGAAACTCATAAGCCCTACCTGTTCTCAGCGTCGGCACTGCACTTTGGGGACAGCAATTCAAAGGATTTGGTAAACTTCACCACCTGCAGCACAGAAAGACAATAAATCATGTCAATTAAAGCTTTCTCACAGTTTAAACAATGCAATGAACAGTTTTCAGCTTTATAATGGCTATTACAATAATTGGAGATTAAAAAGGAATTTTAAGTGAAGAAATCCCAAAGGGCAGAAGAAGAAAATCCTATCTTACATTTTGTATTTTCTTCTTACATAGCATACATTGCCAAAGTTTTATTACATCTTACTAAATATGTATTTGCGTTTATAATGAAATGTGTACTATCCTGTGGTGGTCAGGCAAAGGGACGTCTCATTTGAGTATAATTTTTTTTTTTTTTTGGTGTCCTTTTAACAGCCTAATCACAACCCATGGAGAGAAACCACCCTTCAAAAAAGAGGCCTTCCATCAACTCCAGGTTCCTGAAGTTACCTTCCCTGGCTTATAATTGTTTTCCAGTAGAACATTTTGCTGCCACTGACCAAAGGGTAAAGAAGAAGAAGTCATCTTCTTCAAAGGTCATCCTCAGCGTGGACACTTCCCCTCTCACCTGTCCAGTGAAAACGGCACACCCAGTGCAAGATCAAGGCTTATTATATTGAAGGGAAGTTTATGGGCAAAGAAAAAGTAGTTTTTCTTATTAGCTACTATCGAGTTCTTACTATAACGAGGCCCTACATCAGAAGCTCCTTTGACTATTTAATTTCCTTATTACAACTCTATAAAGTAGGGATTTTTATCCTCAGCATATAGATGAGGAAACTAACCCGTAATTCTTAAGTAAATTGCTCAGTTTCACACAAATAAATGGGGCACGTTTGCATGATTCTAGAGCACCAGCTCTTTCAGCAACACGAAAAATGTTGAGTGGGAGAGACACCGTTTCTGCCCCTCTTTTGATAAGATATGCTACATGATATAAAAACAGGTTCCTTATACTGAAAAGAGTCATCTGAATGTCACTGGATGCCTCCAAAGTTGACATTTAGATTCGCTTAGCCAGACACAGTCATGCTTCAAAGGCCTTTTAAATTAACCACTTAAAATAAATTGATGGGCACCTGAGAAAATTATTTGGAAACGGGGAATAGATTAAATATTAAAACAGCTTTATCAGTGAGGTAATGAACCCAAACTAAGAAAATGCAACATTAGGGGAAAGATAAAAGAAAAGCCCATCAGAAAGAAAATCGTGTGTGACTAGCTAAATGCAGGGTAGTGACAAAAACTCAACTGCAAGGAAATGCTCTGGACAACTACAGAACATATTTCATTTGATATTCTTATATGAACTAAGCCTCTACAAAATCACTCATTGTGGCAAATTTTATTTTCCAAAGATGGCCATAACAACATCTCCTATCCCACATCCTTCTTTACAATATTGCCCTGCCATCCTCCTGTCAAGGGGTAGGTCTGTGTTCTCTCCCCTTGAGTCTAGGTAGACTTCTGATCACTTTGACAAATAGAGTGTATGAAAGAGGTTCTATGTGTCTTTTGAGGTTGTCATAAAAGGCAATGCAGCTTCTGCCTCATCTGATGGAATACTTGTGCCTGGAGCCCTGAGCCACCATGTAAGAAATCCAACTACCTTGAGGACATTATGTTGAAAGGCAGCCAAACCATACAGAGAGGCCACAGGTAGATGCTCTGTTCAGCAGCTCCAGTTTTTAAGCCATCCCTACCCAGGCACCAGACATATGAGTAAACAAACCTTCAGATGACTCCAGTTCCCAGACATTAAGTCACTCTGATCTCCATGTTTTCCCACCTGTGGCCCCAGATATCCCAGAAAGAGGCAAGTCATTCTTTCTATTCCCTCTCCAAATTCTTGATCCACAGGATTTGAGAACATATAACGTGGTTGGTTTAAGCCTCTAAATTTTGAGTTTATTTTTTATACAGCAAAAGTAACTGGAACACTTATCTCTAGGACTCAAACAGAAACCAATCACTTAGAAATCTTAATCTAGCTGCAATATTTTTGGGTCTCATAAGGCCAGCAAGCCACAAAGAGATTATTTATTGTAACCAAATAATAAATCCCTCAAGCTATACCTCAGATAATTCTTAAGGTTAAGATAATAATAGGATAAAAAGTAGAAGCATTTCATTTATGTTTGCAGAATAAGAAATTATTACAGATTTTAAAAGAGGAAGTTAGTTCACTATGAATTTTTGCGTTTTTTGCTTAAGTGTGTCTTAAATGCTTTTGGTATTTAATTGAGTAAAAATATAAACAAAGATAAATGAATTATTTATATGAACATGTATACATGTGTATAAAAATATTTTTATACATGATATAATAGAAATTTGCATATGTAAAACTAATTACAGTTTAATAAAGCATATGGATCATTAAGTTGGGAAAAAGAGCATTTTTCTGAGGTATGGAAAGGAGATTGAAATGGTAAATAAGAGAAATACTACATTTAAGGGCCTACAGCTAACAGCAAACAATAAAAGAGTAAAAGAGAAGCAAGCTTGAGTCCCATCAAGAAAGTGGTAAAATACGAGCAGAGCAATGAAACTATAAGGACAAATCCACTGCTGGCTGTAAGCCAGATCCGATCAAGGAGGTAGCAAAACATCAGTGTTGGATTTCAGGAGGTACATAAATCTAGGTTGCTCCCAAGCCATCTAATTATGAAGGGCTTCAAATTCATTCTAGAATGGATCTAAAATTGTCACAGAAATCCCAGTCTGAACCATATATTCAGTAATCCAGGGCTGCTGGTGGAAAACTCTTACAGATTCTCTGAATTTAGGGCAATCTAAGATTAGGCTCACAGTCAAGTTAAGCATCAAAGTCACCAGAATATTGGGCCCTTCAGGCAACATACATATGAGCCTTGGTCCATGTAGAGAACAGCAAGACAAATAGTAGAAAAGCAACACAATTATAGAGATGTACACTGATCTGTCCACCTCCCATTCCTCTAAAACAGGGGAAAGCAAGAGACAGCCTGTGGGACAAACCTGGCCCACCATCTGCTTTTATAAATAAAGCTTTATTTTAACAGCCCAACTCATTAATTTAAACATTGTCTGTGGTTGCTTTCTGCTATAACAGTAGAGTTCTAGAGTAGTTACAACAGAGACTATATGGGCCACAAAGCCTAAAATATTTACTAGCTGGCCCTTTATAGAAAAAGTTTGCTGATTTCTGGTCTAGAGTCATTCTAGACCAGGTCAACTACTTATTTTCTGCTACTCTGTTAATGGCTGATGTTAGATTAATGCATTAATATTCCAATTTAATTTATCTATAATTCAGAAAGGGGATTCCTGGAGTCAAAATCTTCTCATCTGAGTCTACGGCCATGCCACCCTGAACAAGTCTGATCCTGTCTGATCTCAGAAGCTAAGCAGGGTTCGGCCTGGTTAGTACTTGGATGGGAGACCACCTAGGAAGCCCAGGTGCTGTAGGCATAAAAAATAAAAAAATAAAAAAAATAAGGGATTGTAAACTGACAAGGTCCTTGCAATCTGTGAGGTCAACCAAGGGTTGCCTCATCTAAAAAAAAAAAATCTTCTCCTCTGAAACAACACCGCAATGATAGAAATTTTAGGCACCAACACAAGTGGTGAAGGATATACTTGAGGATCCACATATGTCTCAGTTGGCATGGGACTGTCCCACTTTAATTAAGCCTATTGTCCCGGGACAATTATTAAAAGTGCCCCCTTTCATACCCAAAAGTATCTTTGAAAAGCAAAACTCTAGGAAGGCATACTTCAAACAATTTACATTTTTAAAAGAAATTTATTAAAAATATAATGCATTCAAATAAAAAATTATTTATAGTCAGACAGCTGGGTTAAAAAACAAAATAGCAAAACCAGTTAAACTATTTTGATATAATTTACTGGGATCTATAGTTACTGTGGAGATCATGACTAAAAAAGACAAAAGCATAAATAAAAAGAATACAATTAATGCTTTATTCTTGACTTGGACCGATTGTATGGTTCTTAGTTTCATTAATTTTTAAAGATTTATTCTCTAAATCCAATTCTGGTTTTATTATAGATGTACTAAATGAACATAGATTAAATAAATAAATATACTCACATACACTAATTAAAAAGAGAATCTTATAAAAGAAATATCTGAAGTGGTTTATAGGTCAATGAAGCTGAACAAATGGTTCTGAGCTCCTCTGGCTGTTGATCAACCCTGGTTACTGCAGTGCACATGCTACAGTGAAGTAAACAAAATATCCCCAAGTGTCTCTGGCTGTTATTTGGAAAAGCTCCATGGACAGAGTCTTTTTGATTTGGATATTTATTAAGCACTAGTTGGTCTTGTTTAGCTCTGTTTTTATATACATGTATATATATATATATGTATATAAAATAGATATTCCTGCCATCAAAAAGAAAATAAAAATTATCTACTAAGTAATCACCATTTTTTTAATTAGTTTCCTTAATCCTCAATTTCCATAAGAGGACTACTCTATAGGGCAAAAGAATAAATTAAGTGATTATCCACTACCATCCTTCTTAATATATTTCTCATTTATGCTGATGAGTAATTTACTCTAATTATTTATTCACTCAATCAATATTTATCAGATATTTAGTGTACGAGGTACTGTTATAGCCTCTGGGAATACCAAGGAGTGTAAATCATGTCCTGTCCTTGAGGAACTCATGACACCGTACGGAGGAGAAAACAGTTCACAAATGTATAATTTCACCACAGTGGATAATCAAAATGCCATAAGCTCACAGAAGAGAGTAATAAAAGAAGGTTCAAGTGAACTATGTCCTGAAGGATCAGCAGGAGTGCTCTAGGCTGAGGAATGAGAAAAGCAGAATTTTGGTAGACAACTGAACCTAATTCAACATAGGGACTAATTACAGAAGTGTAGGCAAGATTAAAATAAAACCAATAAGGAATGATGAGGCACCCAGAGACTAGCAACTTTGGAAAGCAGCCCTAGGTCTGAGGGAACACAAGAGAGAGTGAGAGACAGAAGAAGGCATGGAAATGGGAGGGAATCATGTCGTTGG